TGAAGGAAATGCAAATAAAGACAACCCTGAGATACCACCTTACCCCAGTCAGAATGTCCCACATCCACAAATCAGCCAACAACAAATGCTGGAGGGGATGTGGAGAAAGAGGAACCCTATTACACTGCTGGTGGGAATGTACACTTATACAACCACTTTGGAAAGCAGTCTGGAGGGTCCTTAGAAAGCTAAAGATTGACCTCCCTTACGACCCAGTCATACCACTTCTAGGCATCTACCCTGAACAACAGGAACCAATATACAAGGACACGTGCACCTCCATGTTTATTGCAGCACTGTTCGCAATAGCTAGGCTATGGAAACAACCTAGATGCCCCACCACAAATGAATGGATCCAAAAATTGTGGTATCTATACACAATGGAATATTATGCAGCCATTAGAAATGACAAAATAATGGCATTTGCAGGGAAATGGATGGAGCTAGAAGGAATCATGTTGAGCGAGGTAAGCCAAGAATGAAGAGACAAACGGTACATGGTCTCCCTGATAAGTGGACGCTAAATCCAAAAGGTTAGGTGATACGACAAAACTAACAGGACTTAAGAAACAAAGAACTCCCACTCATCTGGTTGAACCACTACTAAATATCCCCATGCTGCTGATCACATATATGGTATATAACATGTGAACACTGTTATATATTACAGACTGTGGTAGACAATTTGCTCCAGGGAAGTTAGAATGAACTTGTGACTTTGAAATTATGTAATCATTTAATCACAATAAAAAAAAAAAAAAAGAACCTCGGGGAAGGGAGGGAGGGAGGGGATGGTAGGGGGAAAACAATGGAGGGGGTAACCATGTTCAAGAGGAAGTGTACTCATTACCTCATTCATGTAACTGTAACCCTCTATATAGTAGCTTTACAATAAAAAAAAAAAAAAAAAAAAAACACACACACACACACACACAAAAAAAAATACCCTCAACACAGTGAAGCTGCCAATAAGCTGACCACGATTTGGCGAGAGGCACGACACTGAATGTTTAATATCACCTTGTCTTCCTCTCAGCCTTCTCTGCAGACCCTTCTCTGCAGACACCCAGCCCTGCTTGTTGGGCCGCTTGGGTGTCAATGGGGCACCTCACAGGACCACCCTCCCACAAAGACCATCTTCCTCTTGTGCCCCACATTTCAGCACAGAACAGTCTACCCCAGCTCCCCAAGCAGAGCCGAGACTCGTCCCAGGCTGCTCCCTCTTACCAGCCCTGCCTCCTGGCCTCGCTGGGGCCTGACAAGTCTGCCTTTCCCATGTCCCAGCCTCCCTGTTCCCACCACGGTCACTCTTAGTTACCTCAGCATTTCCTCACTCTTGTTCTGTCTCTAATTTTGGCTCTCCGCTAATCTTTGATCCTCTCCACATGCAACAGTGATCGTGTCACCGACCCAAATCCTTACTACCTTCAAGAAAAACCCACAGATCTTTCTGATCTAGACCCTAATTTGCCTCTCTGGCTTCACTTCCTCAGCCTCTGCTGTCTTCTAATGTATGTGGCTGAACACAGGCACTGCCAAGAGCTGTGCGCTCTGTCTGTCTGTCTGTCTGTCTGTCTGTCTGTCTGTCTCTGTCTCTCATCTTCTGCCCTTGCCCAAGTTATCCTCTGCCTAAGGAAGTCCTCCTGCCTTCACACATCCATCTGGGCATTTATTTCCTCAACACTCCAGAGCCAGGAAGGGCCTAACACATGGAGACTGCAGTAAATGTTTCTCTATGCCAGAATCAATAAGTCTTTTATAGTTAAAACGTTCTTTACAACCTACAAGATCTTCATATCTATAGTCATATTTAATTAATTTTGATTCTCACTGGACTATTAGACAACCACTGCCAGTTGGTGGCATAGCTAGAGATGAATGCAATCATCCTTGACTAAAAGCCTATTCTTTATTACTAACATACTCAAGATACTAGGCACACACTGAACCTACTATGTGCCAAAAAGAATACAGGAGCTGCACAGGTTGTAAATTTAGCACCAAAAATGTCCAATCAAAGGTACAAGATCTGTGAACACATATGATGTGGAGAGAACATTTCACAAGAAAGCCTAGTATAGCTAAGTGCTAAGCTACCTAAGAGCCCCAGACAGGGAGCAAAGGGCACTTGGTGGTCATAGAGTACTCCAGGAAAATTTCCCAGGAGGAGAGGGAAGGGGAGGGGAGATGGCCAGGTCCCGTGAGGGATTGCTGTGAGTCAGAGAGACAGCTGAAAGACAGGCAGGCATGCCGGGGGTCCAAGGCCTACACCAGTCTACCACAGGTTGGGGGACAATGCAAAAACATGCAAATGTACAAAAGTTTGATCATAATGTATCTTTAACTGAACTTCTTAATGTTCTAAAAGAGAGAGAGAGAAAAGGCACCCTAAGCCTGGTATAAATACATACGTACCTCCCCCCAATAAAACAAAGGCAAAAACAAAACCTTCTCTAATGGGGCTGGGAAGGTGGCTCAGTGGTAGAGCGCTTGCCTTGCATGCCTGAGGCCCTGGGTTCGATTCCTCAGCACCACATAAGCAAAAAGAAAAAAATCGCAAGTGGCGCTGTGGCTCAAGTGGTACAGAGCTAGCCTTGAGCTGAAGAGCTGAGGGACAGCGCCCAGGCCCAGAGTTCAGGCCCTACAACCAGACTCCCCCCGCCCCCCCCAAAAAAAAACCTTCTCCCACTTACACAATAAGAATATAGGACAGAACTAGCACGTTCTCTGGGGCCATGATACTTATCATTCTATTTGCACTGAATCAAGTTAACTTCCTGCAAGTTATGCTTACTCTGCATTCTGATGTGGCCAAGAGTTGATGAGAAGAAGGCTATTTCTCATCATGTGTCTACTCAGGGTTACCTTGTTACTCCCTGACAACAATGCCTCCTTCTGTTAAGCATCAGTGAAATAACAGCAATGTAACTATTCCATCAAGTGATAAACTTGGAAACTTAAAATCCCACAGTACTTCATTGTTTTTCCTTTGGCCATTAGTAACATAGTGAACACAGTGAAAATAACGAACTCCATAGTAGAAAACCTGCAAAGGGACCAGTAAAACCTTCCTCTTTCATCTCCACCCCAACCCAACAACAACTCTGCAATCTTGGGTATCTTCTGCAACATCAGAACATCTAAAACTCCTCTCTGTACAAGGTGCTGGAAGGAAAAGACACATTGAATGCCCCTCCTTTGGACAGTTTAGAGCCTTTCTCCCCACCCACAATCTTTTCTTCCATAGCTAAGCCTTTTACCACCTAAACTCAAATGCCAGTTCCTCAGTGTCAACTAGAGTGGGGAAGTGGGGGAAGGAAAGTGGGAGAAAAATGAGGGAGGGGGAAACAAGTTCCACAAGAAATGGACTCACTACCTTACTTATATAACTGTAACCCCTCTGCACATCACCATGACAATAAAATTTAAGAGTATATTAAACAATTCTGAATCATTACAACGTACTTGACTAAGACATACACCCATTTTTCCAACCAAAATGTGTTCATGTTCCCTTAGCATGGAGATTTGCAATGTTTCTTTTTTAAATACAGAGGCCTAGTCTTTTACTGTGTGTGACACTTTAACCTTGACTTCTTTTTCATATCAATAATACAAGTTTTTCTTTTAAATCACTAACTTGATACCTTTTTATTATGCAAGATATTACGGATGAACTTGGATAACATCTTGGATAACAGAGTCAATTCCTTGTTTTGCTTATGAAAACCAGAATTTGAAGACAGTGAATTCATAAGCACTGTGAACCTTACATACTTTCTCACTAAAACTACATCCTTTCCTTCTCCAAATTTCAGGAACAAGTAGTTAAGGGACCATGAAGTGTTTATTTTCCAACCTGAATTTATCACCTCAACACTTTGGCTTTTGAATGATGAGTTCTGCTTAAATCACACACTGCTTGTCAATATCCACACCTAAACCTTCTTGCTTTGAAAATCTGAAAAAAGTCCAGATTAGGGAATGCCTAATTTGATAGGAGATAACAAATGTCCATTTCCATCCCAGAATATGGTCTTCTCAGCTTCAATTAACCTCTGAATGATTCCTTTCAAACTGGGAAGTAATTCTCCTCTGAGTCCTGGTCATCCATCCAGTGGAAATCTCTCAGGTGGCAAAGATGAGTAATCACTTATGTGACCCCCCCTCCCAAAGGCCTTGGCCTTCCATTTCCTTCTCTTCCACTCTGACTGGAGCTGAGGGGGGGGGGGGGGGGGGAGAAGGATTGATGGAGGGGCACAATCTCCAGACCAGACTACTACATCAATTCTGCAATCCCTTCCCACCCCCTACACTGGAGCTGAGGGAGGGGGTGGGGGGCAGGGATTGGTGGAGACCTGAATACGTCATCTACGCTGCCATCCCTTCTCCACCCCTACACTTTCTCAGCTTTTCCCATTTTTCTTCCCTCCTTCCGCCTCTTCTCCCCGACCCCATGACACCCTCCGGGTTGTCTGGATTCTTGCCACACACGAAACCGATAGCCCCCTTGGGACCCTGCAGCTGCGTAAGGCTGCGGCTCTGGGTGCGCGGTCCGGCTCGGGACCACTGCGCCCAAGGACGTCCCCGCCAAAGTTTTGCTACAAAACCCGTAGGCTGACTCGGTGTCTCCACCGAGAACACGCACGCCGAGGGACTGAGAACCCCGGCACCGCGGGACAGACCCGGTGCGGCCACGGCCTGAAGCGAGACCCTCGGCATGGCGAGGCAAGGCTGGGCGGAGGAATTCTGGGGTTCAGGGGCCGCGCGGGGCCCAGTGGGGACCTCAGGGGCGGCTCCCCTGCGTCAGGCCCCGGCCCTGGCGACCCCCGCCCGGGGGCGCGTCCCGGGAAGGGGGCGCGCTCGTCACCCCGCCCCGGGGCGGGCGGAGGTCGTCCAGGCCAAGGCGGGCTGCGGCCCCTGGTGCCGCAACAGGTGCGCGGCCGCCCCCCCCCCCGCCCGGCCGCCCCGCCCGGCGCGGACCCCCGCCCCGCCGTTACCTGCCGCCGAGTCCCGGGAGCCCAGGCCCGCGCCCAGCGGCGGAGCAGGCCGGCGCCGACGCTCGAGAGGTCTCCGGCAGCCGCCTGGGGGAGGGGGCCCCGGCCGGGCCCGCCGCGGAGGTCGGGGCGCAGTGCTGCAGGGGAGGGGGCGCGCAGACCGCCAGGAGGGCGCGGCCGCGGGCCAGGCCTCAGAGGCGGCGTCCTCCGCCGACGACCCGGCCGCCACCCGCGCTCGGTGCCCGGGGCGACGCACCGGCTCGCCCGCCCGCGTTTCCGAGCGGCTTTTGGTCCCTCCCTCTCGCCGTCCTCCTGGCCCCGCCCTCCGCCCCGCCCCCGTTGTCAGGGCAACCTGAGCGACGCCCGCCGACCAGGAGAGGCGTTAGGAGGGCGGCGGCGGCGGCTCGGCCCGTGGGGCCCGGGAGCTGCTTGACCATGGAGCCCCAGAGTAAGGCGTCCGGACCGGGGCGGCCGGGGACGGCCGGGGGCCCTGGGGTCGGGCGGGCGCCACGCGCGGCTCCGACGCCCCGAGCGGGAAGTGCGGGCCGCGCCGCCCCTCGCGCGTCTCCCTCTCCGCGGAGCCGGGCGGCGTCCGCCGAGAGGCCGCGAGCGAGCGAGCGCCCGGGCCCCGGCGGGGGACGGGGACGAGCGCCCGCCGGCTCCCTTCCCCAGCTCCCCCGGGACCGCCGTGCGGGGCGTCCGGGTCGGGTGTGCGGAGACGCGGCCCGCGCCCCGCCCTGCGCCCGGCGTGCGGCTGGAGGCCCGGGCGGCGGCGGCCCGCGCCCCGCGCCGGCCGGTCAGAGGCCCGCGCTTTCCGCCCCGATTTCCCTGCTCTCCAGGGGTTTGGGCGGCGTTCGGATTTGAATTCGGGGGCCGAGCAAAGGAGCGCCCCCCCGGGCCACACCCAGCACTTCCCGCTTCCCGGATGGCCCGAGGTGCGCCGCACCCAGGTCCGACCCGAACCACCGGTTTGTCCCGAGCGCGGACTTTGTCCGAGGCCCTCTCTCCTCCTCCTCCCTCCTCCTCCTCCCCCAGCCCGTCCGGGCCCACCCACCCCCATTCCCACGCCCGGACGGAGTTTTATAGGGAGACCTGAGATGCGCTGGGGCTCCCCCAAACCCAGTCTTGCAAGTCTGTCCTCGCACAGTGCCAGAAGTAAAGCATCCCGAACCAATCCAGATCTCTGAAGGAACTGTGGCTTTTTACATTGTATTTTTCCAAACGGCCATTTCCAACCAGCTAGCAAGTTTAAACAGCTTTTTTCCCCCCCTTTTAGCTCACTAGCTGAGGAGACACCGTCGAGAGTTATAATTGTTTGTTTTTAAATACAGGATTCTTTGTATTTAAAACCCATTGTATCCTATATTTTATGGAACCGGTTGAAAGCAATGTAGCAGACAGCTGCTACAATTATTATTATTATTATTTGGTTTGGTCTTATGTCAAACTGATGCAGGCGTGTGTATGCTTTCCATAGAGAAGAAATGATTTGAAGTGTAATAATCTTTTCAAAAGAAAATTGCTGAGTATGAGTCTCAGGTGCTAGAGCACCTGTCTAGCCAAGCACAAGGCCCTGAGTTCAAACCTCATTACTACCAAAGGAGAAAAAAAAAACCCAGAAACTTCTTCAGGTTTATGTTATTGGTTTTTTTTAAAAAAAAATTATGCTGACATGCTGGTATAGTTAACAGAGTTGGCATGAACCAGGCCCAGAATGCCAACCAGCTGTTGGCTGCTATTTTCCCCCCAGCAGTGTAACACATGCCTAGGTACAATGTTCAACCTAGGAAGCTGCCTACACCAGGTGGGTGTTATCGTTTAAGGATATAAACTATAATTTTCGCAATCTTTACTGCCACCATGTTTATCCATTTCTTTGTGATGCCTATTTTATGGCAGCTTTGTTCCAGGGATTGAGGACTGTCAACAAATGTTCTCCCTAACTGTGAAAACAAGAACTCTTGGAACCTCCCTGGGGTCTAAGACTGGAGAAGGGAGGGGGGTGGGAGGCTGAAGAAGGAGGGAGGCCTGCGGGATAGCCTTGTAAAAAATGAGGGAAAGCAATTTCAGGCAGAGCACCTCTCCCTAGTGCATGGGCCCTGACACCTGAGTGGCCAGTTCAAGGCTCAGGGGAGGAAAACTAGTAAAGCTATAGCTCTAGAAAGAGTGGAGGGAAACGAGAAGAGATAAAATAGTTAAGAGTGAGGAGAAGAGATGTGGCTACAAGTTAGCAGGACTTAGACAAGGAAGGCTTTGTAAATTAATCTCATATATGAATTCTACATTTGTATCTCATCTCTCTGGGATTTGAATGACAATATATGTCCTTTTTCAACCCCCTTTTTGGGGGGGTTGGTTGTGGGGCTTAAACTCAGGGTTTGGGCACTGTCTCTAAGCTTTTTCAAGGCTGGCACTCCACCACTTTGAGCCAGAGCACCACTTCTGGTTTTCTAGTGGTTAATTGGAGATAGGAGTCTCACTTTCCTATGTGGGCTGGCTTTGAACCATGATCCTCTGATCTTGGCCTCCTGAGTTGCTAGGATTACAGGCATGAGTCACTAGCCCCTGGCCTAAATTTTTTTTTTCAGTTCCAATTTTTATTTTAATAAAATCAGAATATGCACAGCACATGTAGTTCTGGCTTATATTCTTATATTCTTAATTTTTTGTTATTTTTATATAATTAAAAAATCACCATATCCTTTAGGAAATTCACAGTCTAATGAACAACATTTTGGGTAAACAATTACTAAAGTCATCATGGCTAGTAAATATTTAAAAGGACAAGATTAGTAATTTCTAAGATCTCATTCAATTTAAGATTTATATCCAGCCTTATTTCACCTATGACTGAACTGATGGCACAATAGTTTGATACTGATGAGTATAATCATACGAAATTACGATTCCATTTTCAGTAGTATACTAACAGTATGTTGTTACACTGACATGATGAAATGTATTTTAAGGCTGGTGTTTACATGTACCTTGTGTTATTGTGGGGTTTCAAATAATACAAGTACAGTTGCCTGTAGCATCAGTTAATTGGTGTTCAAGTGCTTTTGAGGATTAAACATGTGTCTAAGAACATCCTCAGGAACAACCAGAGAGAATCCTCAAGACAGTCATGGCCATTTGATTTTCACCCACTTAGTTTTCTATTACTTTTAGGGATGACCTTCATTAACGGAGTCACTAACATCTAATAAACCTAAGCCCTTCAGACTCACAGCTGGGTCAGGCTCTGGCATTAGGCGAAGGAGGACTGGGGTGACCAGTGTATTACAGAGTAACAAGTCAATGAGCCAAGCAATGATTGATTCCTTAGGGAACAGGCAAATTAAACAAGTTCACAACCTTGGGCTGTGCACACTGGTTTGAGCTCTTGGCTTGTTCATTTACACCTTTTTCTTTTCATGTTGACAGGGTCTCATTATGAGCCTAGATCTCAACACTTGATCCTTTTGCCTCAGTCTCCAGAGGTCTAGGATTCCAGGGTTGCACTTCCATTCCAAACACATCACATTTATATCTTAATTTTCTTTAACTTTACTATCGGAATGATAACCCATGCATGATAGAACATGGAAAACATCTATCAAATTATTCCTAATCCTACTCAGGAGGCTGAGATCTGAGGATCATGATTCCAAGCAGCCTGAGCAGAAAAGTCCATACTCTTTTTTTTCATTTTTTATTGTTATTACAAAGGTGATGTACAGAGAGGTTACTGTTACATAAGTCTGGTAAAGAGTACATTTCTTTTTGAACATAATACTCTTATCTCCAATTAACCGGCAAAAAGCCAGGTGTGGTGCTGTGGCTGACATGGTAGAGTGCTGGCCTTGAAAAGTTAAACTCAGGTCCTGAGTTCAAGTCCCAGTTCTAGCACCAAAAAGACAAAACAAACCCCTAAGTTTAACAGTGTGACTTCTTATATCTTAGTAAGTAAATTCAGTAGGAGGTTTTGAGGGTTTTTGAGTGGTTTTGAGGGTCTTTACCCCAACTAAACAATCACAATCTGACTAAATAGGCAAGCTGAAGAAAACACATGCTTTGATTAAAAACTGTATTTATAAATATACCACCAATACAAATCCTCATCTCCTGCTCCCTCAGCTCTCTAGGCCAGTTATAAATAAATGTGTTCTGGCTCTGTGTCAGGTTGAATACAACTGTGTCCATCCATTTTCTGATCTTTTTAAAAATTTTCTTGTGCACATGCACACACACACACACACACACACACACACGGATGGGCTGAACATAGGCCAGACTGTTTTTATTTTTTGTTTGTTGTGGGGCTTGAACTTGGGGCCTGGGCACTGTCCCTGAGCTCTTTTGCTCAAGGCTACCACTCTATCACTTTGAGCCACAGTGCTCAAAGGATTTTTGGTGGTTAATTGGAGATAAGAGTCTCATGGGCTTTCTTGCACAGTGTGGCTCTGAACTATTATCCTCAGATCTCAGCCTCCTGAGTAGTTAGGATTACTAGTCATGAGCCACCAGTGCCAGGTTAAGGTTTGAGAATTAATGCTAAATGGAGATATTTACTCAAGTGACTAAGGGGCATACGCTAAAGGAGTGGACTCATCTCTCCCAACCTGTCCCTCCACTTGTCTTACCTTCTTTCCTTCAATGGCTTCATCCTGAAATCTGAGTCACCCTGACTCCTCTTGTTTTCTGTCTGCCCCTCCCACTTGTCTGTTTATGTGCCCCTTTCTCCTCCCCTGCTTGGAACAGTGGTATCCACATGTCACCATCTCACTAATGGTGACTGTGGACCCCACTTAGTTCTGAGTTCCTTTCCCCTGGCCCAGTGTCCTCTTAGGCCTCTTATGATCTAGCTGCCTCTTCAGACTTAGCAATTTGGGGCCTTAAATATATTATGCTTTTAGTCCTCAGGCATACCAAACTCCTTTCAGGACCGTGGCTCTTGGTACAAACTCTCCAGCTCCCTTGCCAGGAATACCATCCTCCTGTTCTGGCTGGGCTGAATCCGGGTGCCCTTTAGTCCTTGCTTAAATACCCTCCTCTTCTTCCTTCTCTTCCTCCTCCTCTCCCTCCTCCTCCTCCTCCTCACTTCTCCTCAGTTCTCAGAGGAGGCAGTGT